ATGATACCTAGCATTGCTGTTTTATAAAAGCAAGTGACTCACCCGAAGCCATCACACAATTTTTTCTCAAAAAACTATGGCCAGTAACTACATAGTGTGGCACAATAATCTCCCTCAACACCTCATCACCCATGTCAAACAACACTATGGTGTTGCGAAACCGTTATTCCGAAGCCAATGAACAGCCCCGTTCACGAACGCAAGCGATGAATCACCATTGTCAAATGAATACGGAGGAGCAGGAGCAGAAGCTGCTTCAATGCTCCTCCAAGATCACATGTTGAGTGAGTAAACATCAACCAACACGGGTGGGGTGCATAAATTCACAATCCTCACCACTTTGTAGTCATTGGTGTTTCGATTATGGCCGAAACCCAATGAGGATATCGGAGGTAAGCAAGGGTTCAATGTTGGGTTTGGAGAAGTGAGGTTGGTTCCATGGAATTAATAGAGAATCCTGAATCAAACACACCAACCCATTACAAGATCCCAAATTTAAAAAAAAAAAACCTTAGGATTTATTAACTTCTCCCAATCCCTAAGTCTTACCCTCATAATAACACTTTAATGCATTAAGAACAAGCATAAAAAAAAAAATTCTTTAAAATCCAACACATAAGAATTTCTTGAAAAGTCCCAACACATATGATTATTATCTTTCATAATAACACTTTAATGCATTAAAAACAAGTATAAAAAAAAATTTCTTGAAAATGCCAACACATATGATTATTATCAAAATATTAAACTATAATATAATATAATAATAAAAAAAGGCATTTAATTTCTTGAAAAGTCCAACACATATGATTATTATCAAAATATTAAACTTTAATAATATAAAAAAGAAAAAAAGAAGACATTTAAATTTTTTTTTAAAAAAGACATTTAAAAATCGCAATTCACATATATAGATAATTGTAAATACAATCCGTGCATAGCACGGGTGATATGCTAGTCTATACTATATATTAAGCAAAAGGGGATTTTTAACCCTAAGCCTTGTGGGAGCTCCAATCTCCCAATCTAAATTTTCTGATTTTTTGATTTAAAAAAAAAAATCTTAGCATTTGTTAACTTCTCCCAACTCTTAGGTCTTACCCTCATAATAACACTTTAATGCATTAAAAACAAGCATAAAAAAAATTCTTTGACATCCAACACATATGAATTCATTGAAAAGTCCTAACACATATGATTATTATCCCTCATAATAACACTTTAATGCATTAAAAACAAGCATAAAAAAATTTTCTTGAAAAGTCCAACGCATATGATTATTATCAAAATATTCAACTTTAATATAATATAAAAAATGAAAAAAAATAAGACATTTAAAAAAAAAATTTAAAAATCACAATTCACAGCTCCAATCTCCCAATTTAAATTTCTTGATTTAAAAAAAAAAATATATTAGCATTTATTAACTTCTCCCAACTCCCAAGTCTTATCCTCATAATAATACTTCAATGCATTAAGAACAAGCATAAAAAAAATTCTTTGAAATCCAACACATAAATTCCTTGAAAAGTCCCGACACATATGATTATTGTCCCTCATAATAACACTTTAATGCATTAAGAACAAGCATAAAAAAATTTATTGAAAAGTCTAACACATATGATTATTATCAAAATATTAAACTTTAATATAATATAATAAAAAAAAGACATTTAATTTATTGAAAAGTTCAACACATATGATTATTATCAAAATATTAAACTTTAATATAATATAAAAAATGAAAAAAAGAAGACATTTAAAAAAAATATATTTAAAAATCACAATTCACATATATAGGTAATTATAAACATAATCTGTGCATAGCACGAGTGATATACTAGTATTTTATAAAGGGAGAAGTTAGAGATCATGAAAATAATCATGAAAAATTTATGATTCTTGAATTACCTTGATTAGTGTGTGGTGCTTTATTCTAAATGTAATCCAAAAACCACAAAGCTTTCATGATTATTTTCATGAAAAGTTTTTCAATGATACCTAATATTCCTGTTTTATAAAAGCAAGTGACTCACCCGAAGCCATCACACAATTTTTTCTCAAAAAACTATGGCCAGCAACTACATAATGTGGCACAATAATCTCCCTCAACACCTCATCACCCATGTCAAACAACACTATGGTGTTGCGAAACCGTTATTCCGAAGCCAATGAACAGCCCCGTTCACGAATGCAAGCGATGAATCACCATTGTCAAATGAATACGGAGGAAGCCAATGAACAGCCCCGTTCACGAATGCAAGCGATGAATCACCATTGTCAAATGAATACGGAGGAGCAGGAGCAGAAGCTGCTTCCATGCTCCTCCAAGATCACATGTTGAGTGAGTAAACATCAACCAACACGGGTGGGGTGCATAAATTCACAATCCTTACCACTTTGCAGTCATTGGTGTTTCGATTGTGGCCGAAACCCAATGAGGATATCGGAGGTAAGCAAGGGTTCAATGTTGGGTTTGGAGGAGTGAGGTTGGTTCCATGGAATTAATAGAGAATCCTGAATCAAACACACCAACCCATTACAAGATCCCAATATTGCTGCAGAGCTCTTGAATGGAAATTCTAGAGATTTGATGGGGTAATCTTCTCAAGACATCAATCAGGATTTGTTTTAGTTTCTTCTTCGGAGACTCAGAGAGAGAGAAATTGATTAAACGAAAATTGGTGAAGTAATCGTCCGATGATTGATTAAACGAAAATTGATGGATGAGAAGTATATATAGATACAAAACTCAACTTACATATTCGATGTGGGAATTTCTATTGAGATTAAGGGATTGTTTGGGATGATCTAAATAAGTGTATTTTTTGACTTTTTATGAAATATGAGTTGGATTTAAAGTGATGTGACTTAAATAAGATGACGTGACTTAAATAGGATAGTAATTTTTTAACTTTTTGACTTTTTTAGGTTATGACAAACAATGCCTAATAATACCAAGGTCATAACCAATTAGACCTAACCTAATTGGGCACCATGTTTTTCTTAAGACTTAGTCCCAATGAGGTCATGGGTTCAATTCCCCTTAGAAGAGTTGAATTAAGGGTATGCAAGCACTTTGGTGCTTTGCTAAGGGTGGAGTGATTTTCTCTCATAAATGCTAATCTAACAACTAACAACTAACATTTACCAATCAAAAAAAAAAATACCAAGGCCATGTTGCCTTAAGTATTGGGATTATATGTAGTATAAGCTCACTTGTATGTATTATTATGTTTGATTAACTAGGTTAGAATAAGATATAACACCTCGAGTTCAAATCACTTTAATAGATCATTTGAGTTTTGCCCAGTTGCTAAGTTGACTCGAACGAAATTTTGACACATTTAGACCATTATATCATTTTAAAATTTAAAATATTAAATTAATCACTAATAATAGTTTAATAATAGTATTATATGTTAAATTTTTCAAGATTTTTTTTTTTTTGTACTTATCATTAATTCATTAGAGTTTTATTATAAGAAGATTTTGACCAAATTTCTTTTTTTTATTAGGTCAACAAGATTACACTCACCATACTTTTACGAGTGGCGCTAATAACCCCTACCTTTTTTCTAGGGACTCTCCATTTCTTTGAACCCCCACATAATACCAAAACTATCATTCCTCTAAAATATCACACCTACCTAGCCAGACACCCCACAACAATTTGGACACTCACTAAAACATAATTTAACAAATTCTTCCCTCTTATAATCTTTCATCACCTGAGTTTTGGTGTATTATCTGTACGGGGAGCAAATATTCCAGCGTGCCCGTATTCCTTTCTTCCGAGCTCCGTCGATGTCCGATCACCTGCGAGCAAGTAATGGTGAGCTACCCGGCGGTGTGTGGCCGGAAAAACCCTCCGACGGTCAAGTTAGCACACACCTTAGGATGGATAATGAGAAGGGAGAGAGTGTTTGAGTGTAAGAAATCCTTACAGATGTGTTCGTCCATCGCGTATGGGGGGCGCAGGCATGCTTTTATACCTTCTGAACCCCATATCCACTCCCAGTCATCTCCTGACACGTGGCTCTGCTATCCCATCTGTCAGCATAAACCATGCCATTCACTACCTAACCTCAACTGCTTGACTTCACAGCTGGAGCTCGGCAGCCGAGCTGTTCTACCTCGGCCATGTCATGCTTCAAACCCATGCGCCTAGCCGGACAAACACATGAAGGACCGGGCTAGGCGGCATCTCGGCAAAGCCTAGCCCGGGCTCCTCCTTTGGTGTTTTTGTGTTGGTTTTGAAGCGCGTAACAAACGCTTCGGCCAACTGATGCCACCGTTGTAGAATCAGATTGAATTGAAAATCATAAGATTCTATTTTCTATTAAGAATAAGGTTAAAAATACAAATTTGAATGATACATAATAAAAATAAGGTAAAAAATCATAAATCTAACGATCCTTCCTACGACCCCACACGATCCTACTTGCGATCCTCCTATAACACCGATCCTACAACGATTTGGATCATTTTGACAAAGTAGGATTGTTCGATGTAAATCGCGATTTTGATAACTATGATTGCATGTGCTTTAAAAGGGTTTGTCATTATCCAAGCAAAACATCTTGCCAGAAATTAATCAAAAAAGAAGGATGCATCATTACACAAGGCAACATACAAGAACTAATTAGATTACTTCACACAAAAGGTAACCTATCCACAAACAGATCTCAACAAGGATGGAAAAATAAATCTAAAAAATGGCTTGCTCTTAAACTCAAGTTATTCACTTATGCTACGGGTAAAATTCCAATTGCATGCACTCTAGAAGGATGCATCATTATCCAAGCTAAAGCATCTTGACACAATTTCTTCTCAAGAAAAAAGAAAGAAGGAAAGAAATAGTTAAGAACATCTATCTAGAAATTTGAATTTTTTTTTTTTTTATATAATAAGTTTCTAGAAATTGATTATATAATGTGAAAATGATGTCATTGATTACAAATTCAGTTGTCATCTAAACATCAAGTTAACCCCAATCCTAAAAAGTCATAAACCGATGTAAGATACAAAAATATAGCAAGAGAAAGTAAAGTGACTAAACTTACACTTCTGTATGCATTTGACCCAGAAAGAGGGTCATTTCTTAGCTGCTTACAAAGGCAACAAGTTTGCATTCAGAAATATTTTTGGCTTAGGCATCCACTTGTATCAACCAAAGCAAGTTCTTTGCATCTAAGACAAATATGGAAATTACAAATACAAGCTGCAGAACTTGAATGATAATTCGCCCATTCTATACTTCAAAATAGACATTGTCTCCATTAGTGTTTTCAGTTATTGTTGCTTCTCAGTTCCATCCTCCTCTGCATGTACACAAGATTCTCCTTCACCATCATCACAAGAATTTGCAGCATACAAGGCTCTATTTCCCTTGAGTAAAACTAAGCTCTCCACATAATTATCAACATAAAATGAGCGATTAGTGCCGTGAATTCCTAGATACACAGTACGTTGGGTGTTAGGAGCATACGAAATGAGACCTCTTACTCTAGCTGACAGTAGAACTTCATTGTTCCTCTGAAAACCCACAACCTTTCTCATTCCTTCTCTCATATCAACAGTGAACAGTCTAGTCCAAGACTCCGCTACACCATACTCTTCCATCATCCACACCCAACAATACTCACTCTGCCAAATTTTTTCATACTGGACAAGGGCAAGTGAAGTACCCAATACGGAAACAGACAATTTCAACACCTCAGTTTTGGCTACACCATCTGGCATCATTATATCCCTAAACACCTCATCTTTCATATCAAATGCGGCTACCAAATTGTGAAAACTACCCTTGTCTCCCCGATCAGATGCCACCCAATGGACAGCCCCATTGACAAAAGCCGGCAAGGCAAAGAAATTATAGACAATATACGTTGGAGCAGCGACACCTAGGTTTCTCCAAGTCCCCGTACTAAGCGAGTAAACCTCCACATTAGGAGGAACTCTGTAATTATGATCATCAGGGCTATTATATTGATACACAATCCTCACCACCTTGTAATCATTATTGAAGGCATCACACCCAAAACCCATAAGGCACGCACCTTGAGACGTATAAGGGAATTGGGGTTTCGGAAGGGTAACAGATCTCCTCACAGATGGGTTCCAAATAATTATAGTATCCGTAAAAGTATCATAATCATCAGACAAGCAAATCAACCCATCACAAGAACCCACTACCCTGAAATACTCTTTCACACTCCTAAAGGGGCATTCAAGCTCTACATGCTTATCAAACAACTCGTTGTCCAAATACAAAGCAAATAGCTCAGTTTCGTCAAACATATTGTAGTGCCTACCGAGTAATAGTTGATCATCGTTGTTGTTGTTGGACTTTAAAAGGGTCTTTTTGAGGTGTGTGGATACAAAATTAGGGTTTATGATCAGAGAGTACCATTGTTTGCATATGCAAGTGAATCGAACCAGGGACTTGACGGGGAGTCTTGAGAGGATCTAAATCAACGCGTCGATCGGTAGGTTATCGGACATCGTTTCTTTCTACTTTCTTCGTCTGATAGTAGTGAATCCGATATTGAAGAGTTCAGAGAAATTTTTGAGAGACAATTTGAGAAATCGAGCAGAAGCAGAGTTAGGTATTTACGGATAAAAATTATAAATAAAAGGTTACAGTGTGCTTCACGCTAGCTAGTGCTGTGTACCTTTTGCCGGAACCGCCTATTGTCGGTTGCCAAGTCATCCAAGATTTTTGTGCGACTGTACAATGGATTTTAAATTTATATAAAAAATGCTTTAGATACTCAAAAATTTTATTAAAAATTTTATGTAGATTTTACACTCATGTGAGATATTTGTTAAAAATTTTAGTAGAATTTTTGAAGTCTCTAATAGGACCAAATGGGACCATTTTGGGACCCTATTTTGATAATCTAAACTGTTCATATTTTAGAATATATAAAGTAGAACATGTCTGTAAAAAATCAAGTTAATCGAATATCATTTACCAATTAATCTACTCATATTTATATTTATAAAAATAAATAATAATTATAATTTAAAATATTAAAATGAATATAAATGTGACTAGCTAGTCTTATTTAGCCTCTGTTTGGCAAGTTGGTTCTTGGGCTTTTTTGGCTATTTTAGCCACAAAAGACAAAATAGGTTATTTTAGCCATAACAAACAAAACATCACATCCAATCCATAATCATTACATTCTTCTCTCACAAAAAAACTCAAAAAAGCCAAAAAGTCAAAAAGTCAAAAAGTCCTTCCCAAATCAAGCTTTTAAGTCCAGGTTAAAATAGCCAAAAAAACCAAAAAATCAAAAAGCCAACCCACTTCCCAAATGGAGGCTTAATTTTATATTCTTAAATGCAGTTTCTACTTATTACAATAAAATTACATAAGAACACCCAATAATGAGGCTAGCCTAATTAGTCAAAGAATTAAGTTTGTCTCTATTTAAGTACTCGTTCAGAAAGTTGAATTGGGGTAGGGTGGGGTTAAAATAATTATAAAAGATCAAATAAGTTTTTTAGTCTCAAATTAAAAAATATCATATTTAAATTATATTAATTTCATTTTTTTCTTATAAAAGGTAAAAAAGTCAAAAAATCTATTCAAAACAAGACTTTTTAGCATTAGACTAAAATAGCCAAAAAATTAAAAAGTCAACTTACATCCCAAACGAATCCAAAATTTTGGAAGTTTTCTTCATCATATGGACCTATTTAGAGTCGATCTCGTAATATGTAGAATAAATTTAAATCATAAAATAATAATAATTACTAGAGTTGAACAAGGAATATGTGAAATCCGTAATCCAATCCAGTCCAGTCCAATCCGATAGGTTTGGATTGGTTTTTTGAATTCGTGGTTCGATTCCGGATTGAAGAATTAAAAATTCGTAATCCACGGATTGGTTCTGGATTGAACCCCACGGTTCCTGATTGGAACCGATTCGAACCGTATACAAATAGTCTATATTTTTATTATACATTTCCCCCATAGTATCTTCTCTTATTCTATATAAAATCTAAACTCAAACATAAAACCGTATAATATCTTCTTTTATTACTTTTGTTTGTTAGTTTTTAGTTTTAATTTATAATAGTCTAAATACTTATAGTGAAACCAGTTTTCTTATGATTGTTTAAATTCTAGAATAGTATGTCGCTATTATAGAAAAACATGTTGCTGTTGTAAAACTAACATAGCGCTATGTTTATATTTTTATTAAATTAAAGTGTTATATATGTATATATATATATTGTACGGAAAATAAATAAACCTTCTCGTATAATCTTGTTGATCAAGTCTGCGCTCCTCCGTACGACGTCGCTTTATTTCCTGAAAACGTGAGCTAGCCGGCGGGTGTGTGCCGGATACCTCTCCGATGCCTAAGTCAGAAAAATAGACAAATAGACAAAAGTTCTGTCTATTCGAGAATCAAAGTTGCGTTACCTCTCCATAGGTGATGTTGTGAGCTTTTATAGGTTCCGTGCGGCACAATCCTAGTAGGACTCTTACTCCTCCTTGTAGAGTCCCCCTAGGAATCACATTCCTGAAAGATAATGCTTATCCTTCAACACCCCCTCACTACTTAAACCAAGTGAGATGGTTTTACCATGGTCGGATCCCAATATAACTGAGGTAAGCATGGTTATGCTAAGCCGCAGAGTAGACCGAACTAAAGCCAGTTTGGTTTCTTCCATTCACTACTCTTACCTCAGCTTCTCCTTTACAAACCATGGTGTGTTTAGACCGAGCTAAAAAATAGCAAGGTTTTGACCGAGCTAACCGTAACATGCCACGACCGGGCTAACTCCGAGTGTGGTGACCGGGCTGTCTGTAACACTCTCTTGGACCGGGATAACAACAAGGCCCTTTGGGGACTGGGCTAACGCCAAGGCCCTTTTTACTGTGGCTCACAACGGCCCATTACCCAGCTCGACCCAATTTATATATATATAAATTACCCTCTCATATATATATATATATATATATTATTTAATTATGTGAATCCGTGGTCCTAAACCGATTCAATCCGTATTTAAATGGATTAGTTCGGATTAGTTCCATGATTTAAATGGATTGAATTGTTTTCAATTTTTCAAGAATCGTAAATAACAAATTAGTTCTGATTTTATCACAATCTAATCTAATCCGAATCATACTCACCCCTAATAATTACCACAATAAAATTAAATAAGAGCTCAATAATGGAACTAGCCTAAGTAGTCAAAAAGTTTGTTTCCATTTGAGTTTTGGAAGTTTCCTTGAGATTCATCAAATGAATTGTCAATGCATAAAAGCAAATCAATCAAATATTAGAAATCACGTGATTGAATTATACTTATCTAACCACCAGGGTTGGTGGCCTGGTGGAGAATACAGTACATTCCCTAGTATTGTGCCAGGGTCGATTCCTGTGAAGGGGTGTTTGAAATCTTTTCGGAGAACACGTCTTATACTTCCCTCGGCACCTGTCCTCTGTTAGAGCGTGTGATTGCGCTCCATTGGTGCCCTAGTAGTAGGTCCCTTACTTGGTGAGGGTTAATTCCTGACTGGCAACCGGTTACCCCGAGGTCAGGGCCCACGGGGCCGTGATGACACATCAGAGCCCTTTTTTTTGTGTTAAAAAAAAAAAGAAAAGAATTATACTTATCTAAAAAATAACATATTTTTAAAATCATACATGCCACACCTATTTTATAAAATAAATATGCTTCAATCAATTTAATTTTTTACATTCACACAACCAATAAGTCACAAAAAAGGGCCTAGGGTGAGCCACAACCATGAAACTGAGCCTTCCAATCCAATACTTGAACAAGAACAACCAATAAGTCACAAAAAAGGGCCTAGGGTGAGCCACAACCATGAAACTGAGCCTTCCAATCCAATACTTGAACAAGAAGTTGAGCCAACCAACTGAAAAACATGAAAGGAAAGAAATATGTAGAAGAGTAATATCATATATAAATAGATTTTTTTTCTTTTTTTCTTTGTTAATCACTAAACATAAAAGTTATGAAATCCATATTTATAAATAAACATGAAACTTATGTTTATGTCTAATGTTTAAAAAAAATTAAGTACAAAATTTGTTTATATATAATACTTTTCCGCCTAAAAAGTTAATCTGATATATGTAAAGTTCAGTCAACAAAGCTTATGCCTTGTGACAACAGAGAAGAATCCTCACTTCTTGTGGCTCACCCCAGAAAAGAAAAAATACTACATTTAAAGGGTGTTTACTTAAAATTGAATTGATTAAGTAATAATCAATTAAGTCCATTTGATAATTATAATTGATATTACTTAAAAATTTAAATGCATTTTAAAATGTAAGTCAAAATTTAAGAAAATTTTAAATCATATAAAATTTACTTAATTCTAACTGAATTTATAAATATTAAACATAAATATCAATATACACTATTATAAACTCACTACCACCACCATGCCACCGTCACTACTGCCACCGCCATCGCTACCGCTACCGCTACTGTCATCACTACCACTACCATCACCACAACCACCACCATATCACTACCACTACTACCATTGCTACCATCATCACTATCGCTATCACTATCACTACCATTGCCACCCCTACCATTACCACCCCTACCATTACCACCACCGTCACCACTATTATTACCATCAGCTTCATCATCATTGTCATTATTGCCATAAACATCACCATCATTTTACTACTACTACCATCACTACCACCACCACCATACCAACACTACCGCTACCACTACCACCACTATGCCACTCCACCACTATCATCATCACAATATAAAAATTAAAATATGTAATTTAAAAATAATAAATTTCAAATTTTATCTTACACATCATACAACTTATTTTTAATTTAGTACTTAAATTTTTATCAAACAACTTTTTCAACTTAAAAAATTCAACAGTTAATTTTCAATTTTCAACTTTATCAAATACCACCTTAATTTTCAACTTTATCAAATACCACCTTAATGTACGAATTAAATTTTCAATAGTAGCTAACAACCACCACAACCACCACCATCGTGTCACCACCACTACTACTACCACCACCACCACCATCACTACCACTATGCCACCCCTACCACCACCGCCGCCACCACTACTACTATCACCTTCATCACCATTATCATTATTGTCATGAACATTACCATCATTTTACTACTACTATCATCACTACCACCACCACCATGCCAACGCCACCACTACCACTACCACCATTATGCAACTCCACTACCACCACTACCACCATCACAATATAAAATTTAAAATATACAATTTAAAAATAATAAATTTCAAATTTTATCTTACACATATCATACAACTTATTTTTAATTCAGTACTTAAATTTTTATCAAACAATTTTTCAACTTGAAAAATTCAACATTCAATTTTCAATTTTCAGCTTTATCAAACACCACCTTAATGTATAAATAAAATTTTCAATAGTAGCTAACAATCATTTGAAATGGCAATTTGCTTGAAAAAAATAAATAAATAAAAGCTAGTTCTTTTTTATCAGAAGAGCATAATAATATTTTATAATTTACATATAACACAAAAATTTTTTTGTTACAATGACATTTACAACTAAGCTAGGAAGCACGGATA